CAGAATTTTCTTCAGTTTCTCTCAAGGATGGGACAAAACTTTGAAATAGGGCATAACCACCTGCTTGCAAATCCTTCATCATTCACAATCAACTTCCCAACTTGTCACTACATAACCTCTGCAGTTGAAACAACAACATTAAACAACATAAAAATCAATCAACACTCAAATTCCTTTTTATCTAAATAAATTAACAAAAGTCTGGCAAACTTCAGCAGAGGCCTATATTGGCATTCAAATCATTTATCTATTTGAAAATCCAGAATATTTATCACATGACCAGTGCAGTATCAGAGTATCATTGTGGGGAAACTGGGCAACGATGATATCCTTCATTTTACTCTAGATGAAGTGAAATGCAGTGGATCAAACAGTTTCCATCACCACAAATAAGAATTAAATTTGTTGCCTCATCATTCCTGTTTATGATTGATTTGTGACAATATTCTGTAACGATAAAAGTAAGAGTAAAGTAATGCTGTCCTGCTATACACCATGTAGGTGCTTGGGGGCAGAGGTGGTCTTAACCTCGACACTAGATAGGGGTGAGTGGTCAACATCATGCCCCGGCTGCACTTTACCCCCAGAAAAGGACCCTGGTGCCCATTTGATAGGAGGCTGGGTGGGCCCCAAAGCCAGTCTGGACATAGAAGCTAAAAGAAAAATTCCTCTGCCCCTGCCGGGGATCGAATCTCAGTCGTCTAGTCTGTAGCCAGTCACTATACAGGCTGAGCTACCCCGGCTCAAAATTAATTTGAAACTAAAATATCTGACGAACCCTCACTCACTTATACATGTGAGAATGTGATACAGTTTATAACATTGTAAGGGAAATACTTATAAAGGTTGTCAAAACCGTGACCATGGACCATGATGATACTCTCACACTTCAGATTCACAGTAATATTAGTCTGCTCTTCATAAGCTCTAGTTTTTAGCTGAGCTAAACCATTTTAAGCAAATGGTCATAATTATTATGAGAAAATTCAATTACAGTTACAATGATCTGTAAACTTCTTCCTGACACAATTTCAGTCTTATCTATGTTCTTCTACCATTGTTAGATTCCAAGGTACGGAAAAATCTTCACAAGAACTCAAATAAACCCAGGATAGTTTATTCAAATTTGTGACCTTCTTCCTGTGATCTTCTCATTGCAACAAACAATTTTGGTCTTGGCATCATTTTTGTATCATGCTTAGTTTCAGATTTACTCAAATCTGAATATTTTTCACACTTCTTTGACTGTTCTAAAATAATTTCCTGGTGTCGAGGCATAAGCAAGCCAAGTGTGGAGCAAATTGGTTACTACCTTCTCAAGCTATAACACAACACAGATGTTCACAAACAATTTCAGTGTTCTTCTTCTGGACTGCAATGTGATGTACACTCAAAGGTAGATATCAAAGTTTCAGCACTGAAGATGAAGGAAGAATGTTTCTCCAAAATGTTGGTATCTACGCATTCATACAGCATCACAACCCAGAAGAACAAACCCAACATCTTCACTGCCATGAGAACCTCACATCTCAAAGAATTATAATTTTATACATACAAAATGTTAACACAACAATCTGCACATGAATTTAAAAATTTATTAACTTATGCATAGTAGCTAACTGCAACAACAAATGTCTCTGATGAAAGAATGTCTATTATATTGCATGCTAATGAGCAGTAACATATGGCACCTTCATGATGCAGGTAATGCTACCATTTTAAGGAAGATTAAAGTATACTCCAGTGATTATCATGTACAACTTCTCTTCCTTAAATCAGCTATTGCATGGAGGTATTTTAAATGAACTGGAAGCAGCAACCTACTTTCTGTAACAGATTAGACAGTCAAATTTGCCTGTTGAACTTGCTTGTGTCATCAATGGTCCCAAACCCTACCTTCTGTATAAATTTATATGACAACTTACCTGGTGGAATATGTTGTCTTGTGGACTTTTCTTCGGAGTCGGAGTATCGTCGACGGCTGTCATTATTAGGATTCATCGTGATGACAGTTTTATCACCATCGCCTTCTCTTGTAAAATATGACCTCACACGAGCCCTACTAGGCCTACCACCAACACAGTCAAAATCCATCCTCGACATTTTCGTGAGAACTTATGTGTCAATTCAGTGACATAAATTTATAAGAACCTGGATAACTGGCGTAATGTGTTCTGATTTAGAACCGAAGTCCGTGGAAGCACAGTTTCCAAATAAGAATCCCCTAACCAACTTCAAAACAGCACAACCTTAATAACGTAATCCTACAGACCCTACAAGTAATTTGTACTCCTGTGCTGCCATTATAAAAATTACGTAAAATACGCTTGAATTGACACCAGAATTCAGTCATCAACTGTAACGCGAATGCACGAATGGCTAAAATACACAGACAACATTGTTACAATCGATTAAAAGCATACGCATTTACTGCCATCTTCACGTACAAAATTGCTAATTTTACGTCAGTAGCTCGATCGGCAAAGAGGCGCCCAACTATTCAATAACCACATAATCTAACGTAATTGAAAACAGCAATTAATTGAAATGTACAAAAACCTGCTAAATGTTGACCTCACCAGTTATCACACAACAGTGTACTATATTGGAACAAACAGCTCAATAACCTTCTATCTGCAATTAATATTGCAAATCATGATATTAAAGTATTTAATCAAGCTTTGAAAGTTATTTGTCTCATGACTTCTATTGTGTAGAAACTCTGACTGAAAATTCATAAGTACTGATAATGATAACATTTAATTTGACTGAAAATTCATAAGTACTGTTAAGTACTGATAATGATAACATTTAATTGACATTATTACTTTGCTCTTTATGATATAATATCCTTTTCATTAAGATGTCTGTAAAACTCTTCCAGTTTATCTGGACACACCCACATCTCTTCTCATCCTGTAGGTCTGGGTGGCAATGAAGATAAAGGCAGTATACTTCACTTTAAGTTACTCATAATGGGAAGGAACAAACCTTATGATTTTTGAATTTTCTTCAACGGTGGTAATATATACAAACAATTAAATTTGCTGTAGGTAATGTTATTGGTATTACTGGAGAAGGAGGTGTGTCTGTTACTGAAGGTTCAGACATATGCAGTCTGTACTAAAGTGACAAACTTTTAATTTGTTAGTTGTATTGTGTAAATTCAGAGAACAAAAAACATTTACATGACATAGTTTATTAGCATCATTATTCATTTATGACTAGGTAAGATCATTTTGTTTATAGTCAGCACTCAAAATGAACATTTCTATATGCTTCCATAACCAGAATCTCATTGTTCACCTACATTATAAGGGATGTTTACACATGCATTCAACAAAATTATCATTCCACATATTATAAACCTTTGTATAAGAATCGCAGAAATTTGTTGTGCAAAGAAAACAAAAATGTAAGGTATGAAGCAAAAAATTAAATTTAACCATATACCATATAAATTGTGACACACCTGCATGACTTCATTTATGTGGTAAGGTACCAGAAAGATAAAATATCTGATAACTGCACATTTACTTTTCTAAAATTACATAAATCATATCAAAATATTATGTTGAAGTTTCATCTTTAAATATAACACTCAGATGTGATGAGTTACAAATTTAAACATATAGATGTAAACAGAACCACATACTACTGTGCTTTCATTAAAAAAGATTTGCTTTGTTTGTGAAGCTGCACTCAAATTGTTACTCTTACATGATGCATTTTTCCATCTTTTAATGCGTTCACACATGTATATTAAATTTAATGCAAACATGTATGAACTATTTCAATTATTAAATCTCAATTTCCTACATTTGTTATTTCAACTGTATATTTATTTATACTAGTAGGAGATCTTATCCCTGTCTGAAATTACACACACGGTTTCCTTAGTGAAGTTGCTGAATTTTACAAAGAGAATTTATCAAAATTTTATTTGACTTCAGCAGAATACTAGTCAGACTAAATCAACATTTCCTTCTTACTAACTGTTCAGACTATATGACATGTTGCATGTTCACAATATATCTGTAATTGTTTGTAAAGGAAGACAGCCAGTACATATGCAAAAATCAAATGACATTTATATTTATGACATATGAATGAAAGACAGTCATTAAATAAGCATGTGTAAAATAGGTTTTGGGATCTATTCACATAGATCTGGTCCCGTACAGAATGTTTCAGCAACCTCGGTGTAGCTCTGTATCATTCAAGTATAAAATCTTACTCGTGATAAAAATTTACTCAAGGTAACAAATAAATTACATCTGTGTGAAATGTGGTTTATACATTTTACAACATATGAACCAAAAATTCTGACCATCATAATGACTGAGCAGACAGATTATTCACTTCATGAATATTATATAACCTCTTGACATACCTGTATTTTCCAACCTTTATCTCACACAAAAACTGCAAATATTTTAATTATGTTTTAAATGTGACCATGAAATTATTTTTGTAATTTATTAATGTTTAAAAAATGATGAGGAATATGTTTTAAAGAATAAATTTTGTTTGCCAAAAATTAAACACTTTCATAAACTTTGGAGCTCATGAAACAAACAAGAATTTTACAAACAACTGTTTACATAATAAAGAATTCTGTAGGATTGTATGAAGCAGTTATGATTAAAGCACGCTAAAAAAGGAACTGATTGCTTTAAACAGGTCATTTTAATCCTTTATAGAAAAACAAATCTATGAAATTTAACTTTACACATTCCAGCCTATAAAAAGGGCAAAAATTATACTCAATAAATTACACTAAAAATGAGTTAAATGCACATCTGTTATTGGAATGAAAACGAGCTTAACTGCTGCGGAAGATCTACCTTCAGTCCATGGCAGTAATTCACTTCCTTCATGATAACTGGTTACCTAAATAATGGGCCAGGCATAATTGGTGTGAACAACGCTGTGCATGGGTAATTCATTAGCATTCCTTCTGGAATGCAACAGTACACTGCACATGCAATTAATTTACAAGGCTTCCTACCTGCTTTTCTCTGAAATAATGCTCTTATATGACCCTGGCATAATTTTCTGAAAAACAAAATTAACCAGATATCATCTACTGCTATTCCTTTCAATTAGTAATGCAAAACTTTTCTTTCAAGAAAATTATAGAAAGGAGGATGCACCACGTTTTTCTTAAGATAGACAAACATTCCTAAAACTGAAAAAGAACACAGTAATTATTTAGAAGAAACATTTTACGATGATGTAAATTTGCAGAAGTGTAATGGGAATTTCACATGCACCATAATGCCCATTGACAATGAATAGTACCATATGTGGGTATAATCAATGTGCAAATATGATGTTATTTGGAACTAGTAAACACAAACACGTCTAAAAGGCATACCTTTAAACCTATATAACAAAAATATTAGCAATTCAAAATGAATGTTATTGAAATCATAATGATTATGTAAGTCCTCCTATAAAGTGTATCTTATATTCAAAACACCCATTTCATAACAGAGTAGAAATATTCAATTCTTAATTTTTCACTGAGTGAAATGTGATAATGTACCAATTAAACCTGGTGTATTAAATGATCACATGGTTCTCACACTGACTACATTGTTTTGACACATCAGATTATCTCTCTGAAACACCTATAGGCCTACTTCAAGATTTAAATTATAATTTTCCTGGCTTATAAACTCAAAATGCCAGTTATTTGGATGCACTGGTAAATATTAGTATTTTACACTAATTATTAGCCTTTAAAAAGGATAAATGTTACACACTTCATGCAAAACGTTCAATATTTAATTTTTAGGCCTAATACAGACCATATAATGTACTCATAGGGCCCTATAGACAACTGTTCTAAGACATAGTTTAGAATAGACACATTCCTCTCTGGATTATTTATGTAAAATCTTTTAAATTTATTAGATTTTTTAAAGAGTTTGTAAAAGAAACTGTTAATCATGTAGATGCCTCAGAGGTATAATTAAACTACAGGCACATGATTATTCAAATTCAAAAATTCTTTGAAAATACACATCATATTGAACAAATGAAATGTTAAAAAACACTAAAATAACAGAACGTAATAAACAATTAATTTAAACGTAATTTAAAAACAACTTAGTTCCCTTCGAGCATTTTAGTTACCAATATGAAATGTATACCAGTATTATTAATATTACTATGAATATTGACCATATAAACACAATTAAAGTTTCCAATATATTTAATAAAATAAAAATACTCTGAAATATCAGTAAACTCCTACCAGACTACATGTCACAACAACCCAGAATACAGCCATCTTCAAACTGTTGAAACTCTGGTGCCACAAATGTTAAGCCAAACAGTAATTATACCAGCAAGATAAATGGGAAGTTAAATTACAGATATAGTAGAGTGCAGGTGTGTTTCTGCACCATGAGTATGTTCAAGACAAGGAAGACTAGAACGGATTTGATTCCATACCTAAATGATGGAGGTGAACAAGCTGGCAGTGATTGAATGAACATGTGGTTTCTGTGGTGAAGAATATCCAGCTTGGAATAGCAACCAACATCACAGTTGACATGGGCTGCTGTGTGACAAGGCTGAGTCAGGTCAATCATATTGACGGGCGTCAATATAGTATCCAACTGAGGTGCAAACTCAACAAAAAATACAACCTGAGGAGCTGGATCACAAGGACTGGTGAATCACCAAGCGTAAAGATGATGAAGAGTGATACATTACACACTTACAAATGCAGCATGTTTATCAGAGCTCAGATTTAGAATGCAGATGGACTCAAAAGTAAAGTAATCAGGTTTAAATTGAGGTGAAAAGGAGCAAGTGACAATACGGAAGAACCTATTAAGAGAAAGTATGACACCAAAATTTGTGATAATTTGTAATAAATCCACAGGTTATGTATACATCACTTTTCAGTGCTTCTGAGCCATTATAACTGATGTGGTTTCCATTCCTTTAATCCTTGCAATGCTGTTTCTTCTTGCATGTGAACAGCCCTCTGCTAAGTTTCTTTATTATATTTACGTTAAAGAGATGCACACCACACAATGAAATGGTTAATGAATATTACCAACATGCAGCCATACTAACATATTATTAAATAAATTCTAATTCTTTTCTTGCAAATGAACAGTGATATTTTAAATTATTTTGTCTGCATTATGCTAAGAAGGTGCAGCACTCGATAAAACGGTTCAAGCAAAGTACTGACACACCATCATGCACCACAGACATATCATCAAAAGAATGAATATTAGACTTTTTCTTTCAATCAAACAGTCCTCTGTTGAGTCTTCACTCTATTTTATGTTAAAGAGATGCAAGTCATAAATGAATCAGTCCACTGACAGTACAGGAAGTGTTAACATGTATGTTAGGTTGCATAATGCTTCACTGATCATGTAGCATCAATGTTGTTACAAATGTCTACTTTAATTAAACCAATTTCAAGAGAGGTAAATGCCATTGACAAAAAATTTAAAACAGAATTTTCAGTAATAAATGTGAGACATAAAATGTTGTAACAATTATTATCATTTTGAAATTCCATGTAGTACACTGATTAATATTCATTTTAAAGGGACTGTACATGCATGTTTCTTTATACACCAGCCTCCTTTGGTGAGGTAGGAACTTCAGTTTCAGTAAATACATAATGTGGACACACCTAATTATATTAGAAAGAGAGGAAACAGTGCATTCCACGTCAATGATACAATCTTCCAGTCACTGTGCAGACAATCCAGGTTTTACAGCTGTATTCTATTAAAGGTATGAGAAGCTAAAAAAAATATTTTAACAATTTAACAATATCCTGCGTAAAAATTACAAAGGATAAGAAAGAAATCTTGCTACAAAATACCAGTCTCAAATTTTCCATACATATAAATTACACATACTAGTACATAAACAACTGATTTCATTAATCCACTGCCTCAAACAAATTACAATCACCAGCTAGATTATGCTGACCTTCCAGTATAAAGTTTGCTGATTACTTCCCAAACAAGCCAAAAGCAGTTGAAGGTACTGGGTGTTGTAATAAGAGGCTAATGGAATCTGAAAGCGTTATATATGGTAACTAAATGAAGTATATAAAAAATGAGCCATCATCTGTAGTTTCTCACTGATACATATAATTTGTAACAGGAGGCCACAACTTACACAATGAAGCCCTGTCACATTAGAACGCATTCCTAGAACAACCTCACAAGATACCTTGCACATTCATACATACAGTGAAATGCTAACATAAAAGGAAGTGAGTTGCTAATGCAGAAATGATAGGTCTGGAAATACTACCATACAAAACTTACCCATGGAAAAATATACAAGCTTACATTATGTTTCAATGCTCATTCAGTTATCATGGTATACAATGATCTGTTTACTTTTGTGTGTGCTTTCTGCGTGATGTAACACATGACAGAAAGGCCAAGCACACCTGTCAATATTTCTTCTTCAAACAGGTATGTATTTCATATACTAATTTCTTGCTTTTGTTCAAATGGATAACCCATGTTGGAATGGAAAATCATTTATCAATATTGTGTTATTCAATATTTCTACTGTGTACAATTTCTGAAATGCAGATCTGCATATAAATTAATTAAAGACTACAAATTAAATCAATTGTGTATAGTGTGTTTTTAGATTAATAAATCATATAATATACACATTAAATCATTATTTCTTTTATTATTATATACCTAAAATGTAAACAGAAGTATTAAAATTCCATGTCATTCAGACTAGATAATAAATAACAGTATGTTATAACGATACAGAAAACATTAAAGAAACTATATTTTTATAATCTTCCTAACCACTATGAATGTCACTTTTTAAATGTAACTGAAACTGTCAGGAAATACATACATCTGCTATAAATACGTGTAAATTATCATTATTCAATGTGGAAAATTTTATTCTAAAAATATTTTTGAGATTTTCTAATTATAACAACAACTAAAAACTGTTTCGCATTCCTGGAAATAAGAGTATGAAAATGTTCTGATAACAAGGCAGATACCACTGTTCAGATGTACATACACATTCTAACACAAAATGTATTGTTACTAGAAAATGAGAAGTATATGAAATAATGTGTACATTAAAACCAAATCTTGAATGTAGACTGAAAGATAAATTCCTTTGCAGCAACATATATTCAAGTTTTAAATGAAGTTCTTATAGCAGTGAATATTAAGATGGCTGTCTTCTCAGTTCTAGTGCCATGTAGGCTAGTAGATCACCGTGATGATGGTGACAGCAAGGACCTCTGAAACGTTGGCAAACTTCAACCAGACTACAAGGCAATAGAACCCAGAAGACAGCCATCTTCAAATTCAAGTCTGATTCAGAAAACTAAAGGATAAAAAAATTGGTTATTTCAAGTAGTGACACAGTTCAAAGAATAACCAATATTTTTCTGTTATTAACTTAAAGAATAAGGAACTTATGTACCAAGATTATTTGAATGCATACATTAGAAAACAAAAGTAATTTGTTTTAAATATTTAAAAGAACATTTTTTATTTTACCCTTCCAGTCCATGCCCATCCCCCTCTGAATATCTTTGGGTCAGAACTGAAACAGTGGCAACTAAAAGATGAAAACAGAACAATGTACAGAATCAATAACCAAACTAAATGTGGGTATATGTGTATATATATATCAGGGCAATACTAGGCACCAAATACAGGGGCACATACTAAGCCTACAATTTCACATTGATGATGTTAGAATTTCATCTGAAGGTGTAATCCAGTGACTTGTGGTTTGAGACTAAAAGTAGTTTTTTAAGAGCTTAAAACACCTTATTTATATGTGGCAATGCCTGCTTCTTTTATCCTTTTAGATTTTATGTATGTATTCAACATGTTCACTAATTTTTCTTTCAATTAATTTTCATTATAATTACATTTCTAACTCTGCTAAAGTTCACTGCACTGGCATTTCACTGTATAAAGCCATATTATATTTCCCTGCAATGAAAAGTGCATCAGAAGTTTGCAATGTTATCTAGGAAATGGTTACTTTATATCAATGCAAATATTTAAATAGTATAAGCCAATTATTCACATAATAAACTTATTTATGAGCATTTGTGCTTGTATATAATATATTTCATACATACAATAGTCACACACATTCTTGCAACTTACCACTGGTCCAAACAAGTTTCTTTTCTGTTATTCTGTAACTGTACCATTTAAATAGGAATCATGCAAACAAACAAAAATCAATTGATAAATCATATAAATGCATGTAGGAATGCACTTTATTATTTGTGTACATGTAGGTGTTATTAATATATTAGTTTCAATGAATTAGGTTCTGGTTAATCAGATCTTATGGTGTCATTACTATTATGTTCAACTAATTAAATTACTATTTAGTTACATGATACTTAGAATATAGCTTTAGTAAGCAAACTTCTCGTTAATTACATTTGAACACTAAAAGTAGGTTTTTACACAGTCTCACATTTCATGTGTAATAAATAACAATTAAGTCAAAATGCCAAACAATCCTCCTTTGAATATTTTGGAAGAATAATTAGATTTCATTCGTGACTTCACACACACACACACACAAGATAAGTATTAATGTACAAAGAACTGGAAATTTATTTAAATATCAAATTATACAATAAAACAAAGGGATGAAAAATATCAGACAACAAACATAAGGTAATATGTAGTGAAAAGAACCAGTAATATCAGGACTCGCTTCTCATTATATTAGACTTTCTCAATATCAGCCATGAAATGGTTAAGAAAGGTTGAAATTTACTGAAGACAAAAAATGTTAGAAAATTAGATACTTTCAATTTAAAATTTATTAATATTCATCTCTTTGTGAATGTGTCTGCATTACTATACATCTGTACTGCGACTGAAAGGGTTGGGCTCTTCCGCACGAGAAACTTTGCGTTCTCTCTTGGCAAACAAACCTCCAAGGAAGGACTGCTGATGAATCATCTGCTTGGTTCCTTTAGCATTTGAAAGTGATTGTACATTCTGAGGTGATGAGTCGTGACTAACAGTGCTGGCAGATATGGACTGGAATGAAATGGACATCCCACTGTCCAGAGATCCCATACTTCCTCTCCGCTGTGGTTTATCACCTGGAAATACACACCCAAATTCTTTCTCGAATTCCTAACAAACTTGCATTTCACTCGCAGATGCCCAAGTGAGTGTGTGTGATCTAGGATGGTGGACTAAAATAACAGAACTACAATGTATGAAAGTGAAGGAAGGTAAGGCACATCAACATGTCACACGACAGCTGATACAGTATGCTACTTACACTGCTCATGAATGTCTAGAAGAGAGTTGCTGAGAGCAGATCTCTTGAGCACAGTGTCAGGTACATGACGTTCCCTGTCGCCCTCCGGATAACCATCAGTGTCACAGCCCCCCAGCCCCGATTGTACACACGGACACACCTCCACATCTGCTACTCCACTGTCTCTGTTTTCTGCACTACCGCGACCCCCACGGCTACTTTTTTGACGTTCAAGTTCAGCATCGATGCGTAGGTTTTCCATCTCGTCCATTTCACTGATTGATTCTCGCAGATCTTCGGCAAATTTACAACGATCGTGCTCGTTACGTGCATTAAATGTCACCAAAACTTTGTTATCCACTCGTTGTGACAATCTGATACCATACTGGTAATCTGTGGAATAAGATATATACTCTAAAATTTTACTACAAAAAAACTTATATGCTAATTCATTTAAATTATCTGCAATGTAAAATTATATTCATTTTCCAAAAATGAAACAGCTCAAATTGAATGATTGAAATAGGTCCTTACGTGTACACTGATGACAATTTACTGGACAAAAATATAAATACTATAAAGCTTCACGCAGAAATTCTTCCAGAAGTCAGTTAAGTAATTGGTTCGGAAGAGAATGTAGATAAAACTTCACATATAAGCAAGCCATGTACTTAAAATGTACAAAAAACAGTCCAAGTTGTTACTAGTGCTTAACTAAACACCATGCAATATGGTCATACGGGAGACAGGAGGTCATTTAAAATTTTTAGAAATGTAAATACTCGGGTACAACAACAGACAAAGGTCAGGGGAATAAAAATAGAAAATCCTTGTTACTATTCACTTCAATAACTGTTCATAACACTAAATATTAAAATATATTAAACAATCATTAGCATAAAAAACACTGGTAGTTTTATATTGTTATAAACTAGGTCTGTATATTATGAGGAAAACAAACCAAAAATATGTGAAAATAAAATGGTTAGGAAAGGTATATGATCATCAATGTATTTAGTTTCACACATGTATGACTTACATGGAACTTCAAATAGAGTGACTATCATCCCACAAAGAGGAAAGCTCTGCCGAAATGTGTATGTTACAGAATTTTTCTTTTTGCTTAAGATTTTTGTAATAACCAGAAGATCATTGAACAGAAACACTTCTCTTTGATGAACCCCAGGCCGCTCCTTCTTATAAATGTCAGGAATTTCATACAGGCGACAGTAGCATACCAGTCGTCGATGAGGAAGTGCCATGTTCTGTACACACAAACACATAAATGTATTAAATAAATATACGTTCTACTAATAGATTAACTCACATCACAAAATTTAAAAGTTCTAATCAAAAAAGAAAGATTATCAAATGTGCACAAAAACTGTTCACACTTTTTCAGACATGGACACGCAATTCTTTTGGTACAGCAAAAAATTCAATCATTTTTCCACATGGGTATACACATCACAAAAGTTATTAGTGCCTAAGCACAGGTTCAGGAATCTAACACTCTGTCCAGGATTGATATTTGAAAATTCATTTAACAAACATGATATTACATTCAATGGCATTTTGTAAAGAATAGTAATAACTAATAGAACATTAAAACCAGAACATTTCACAGTGTTGATAAATTGTTTAACAAAAATCTGTGCATAGTTATTATGCCCCAAACATGTACAAAACCAAAACTTAATTTAATAAACAGAATTAATATACAGATTATCAGTCAAGAATGGATACTTTTCATTACAGAACCGATAAATTAAAAAAAAAATTATGGGTACTACATATTCCACAAATAAAAGATGAATATTATCAGCACAAATACATGCCTCTCAAATTCTAGCTGTGCATGTTGAACCATAACATCCAGAATACAATTCCATAGAAACATCAAATGAGCAACAAATAATTACAATGCAATGTGAGGTAAGGGTGGCAATTGTGGTGGTCTGGCTTTGCGATCACAGAGAAAATTGTACCGACTCCCTTATCTCAAAAGCTATCAAAACATATTCCATCCTTATAAACCAATACAAATACCACTTGTGTATTTTTATGAATATCAAATAGCCAATAGTAGTAAGACACCAGCAGTTTCAGATATACATTACTTACCGGTTTTTTCCCAACAATTGTTGATTGAACCTTCATAACTTGAGTAACATGATCAGACCCAGGTTTAAATTCATTGGCTTTTATTCTTTCATATATTCCAACGAGTATATCACGGTCTATATCTGCTCCGTCATCAATACCTCCAAACAGAAAAGCACATAGTTAAACTTACAAAACTCATCATGGATGGCTAGAAATAACATTCACAAGCGCTTGGTATATTGAAAAGCAGTACATAACCTTCAGAGAACACACCAGATAAAAGGCCCAAGGCCAAATAAATTAGATTCTTTTATGTTTTCAAATGCTGAGATGCAGAGAAAACGAAAAAGGATGAATGACTGCAGTCCTAGGATCTAAAACTTCTGCTATGAAGATAATGCATATGATTTATATGTTTTCATTATCAACATACCTGTGGACAATGCTCAGAAGTAATTTGTTTCCACTGTTTCAAGTTTCACATTTTGATACGTGCATTACGAAGACTTGTTACTTAATATGCATATTTATTGATTGAAACAGGATACGCAACAACAGCCATGGCAAATTTTAGCCAATTTACTGCATAATTTCTGGGAAAAATATGAGTTGAATTGACCTACAGTAAAACGCAGTTTAATTTTAAAAGTACTTTTTAAAATCTTGATATAATATAACACTGATATACAAAGTCCAAAATTGTATTCCCCTGCATATTTTTATACACAGAGATTGATAATTGTATATTAGGGAAGTGAGGTCATGGGCCATATTTTGATGCAAATTAATCTAACTTCTTATTTTAAAAAATTATATTACATTTAAAAATATATTTTAACTCTGCACAACTTACCTCGAAGATTTTTAATGAAATCCTCCAATTTCATACGCCTCTCAGGTTTTAAATTTGGTGTATGGAGGTCTGTGTTTAGCATTATTATGGCAAAGGCCAGGACAAACACGGTGTCTGGACTGCGAAACCCTGCAACCACATCTCGATCACACTGACAATAACGCTGACCAAACACTTCCATCAGTCTCTCAATCTTCTGTGCCTCCCCTGGCATTCGAAAGTAGGTCTGAAACTTGCGCAGTGCTACATCCACCTGCATTCCTGACAGGTCCAACTCTTGAGAGAAACATCTGCAATAAAAATAGTACACATAGCATTCAATATTAATTAATTTTTATACATGTCTGAATTACAGTGCCTGCAACTATTAATTTACATAGTCAAGATGTTGCTCTTGAATTCTTGTCCTTTCCTTTTTATTCATTTGTTCATTCTTTATTCATTCATTAATTCACATATTTATTTACTGATTTCTTTATTTATTTCATTTTCATTTTATTTGAAAGCAATGACAATAAAACTGATGTGATCTTACCAGCACCTTCATACAAAAGGAAGAAAACTTTCAGTAAAATACAATGGATCTTGACTAAACACAGTCACACACTTTTACGTAGTTGTTACTGTTAATGTTGCAAAAATAAATTCACTTTACAGATGATACTGCAAACTACTTCCTTCATCTCTTGGACATGTTTAAAGTCTGTTACAACAGTATTGATCAATCAAAACTTTTATAATACAAGAAAAGAAAGGGTCCTAGACCAACCACTACTACATGTTTTCCTTCACTGATGGAGAAGGTCTGGGCCAAGTGGAAGGCCCCATACAGAAGTGAGAAAGGAGGACTACGTCCTTTTCATTCCTACACTCTGGTTGGCTAATTTCCCCAGCATAATCATTCTTCTAACTCCACATAAACTATCCACTTCCCAACAACCTGAATTAAACCTGAAGATAATGACAGTATGTTCTTGCAAAATGCTGTTATCTATCTACAAGTTTGCACAGTATTACAAGCCAGATAACCAACATCTTCACTTCCACACAAACCTCAAATTCCAAAAAAATTTAATTTTTATTTTGCTATTGTTTAGAGATATGATCAACTGTCACAATAACAGTAATGAAGGGAATTAACCTTTTAAAAATGTTCCTCATAACAGTTAATAGAATGTGTAATGTGCAATAATTAACAAGAACTTAAATACAGCTGTAAAATGCGGTATATCCATTATAGAAGCACCAAAGTGTTCAATAAGAAAAAATGGCATTACTTTTTCTGAAAAAAGGGCAATCAATAAATGCAATTTCAAAAAACTTGACTCTGATAATACCAGACTGAGACTACGAAGCAATGACAGTTACATCATTCCAGATAAAGCATTTGAACTTACTCAAGTACAGCCATGTTGAAAGGACTCTGTAAGTTTCCTAAGTATTCCCCAATCATCTGCTTACTCAGTCCTTTTCTAGATATAAGGAACCTGGCGACTCCCTGGGGCGAGTTTTCAAGAAAGCCACGACGAATGAGGTAGGCAATTCCCCTTTCTGGTTTCTTATTGAAGAGATTGAGACCCACTCTGTACTGACGTTTCCTCACCGTCTCTGAAACCTATAAGAAGCACTTTATAGCAAGTCTGGGTTTTTGATAAATGAAAAATCTTATGCAAATACTATGCTTGTCTCTAAATGTTACTGATGATGGTGTTGAATTACTTTTTTTTTTAATCATCATTATGCTTTCTCAAAATACCACTACCTGTTGGGAGATGGGTCTTCCCAGAGCACGATTAGCTCCTTCTAACAAACCCAATTGTGTAGGTTCACCTGAGGATTGGGGAAGAGTCATCTCCTGAAATGTAGTGGTTTTTTGGGGAAGCATAACAACAATTTAAAAAAAAGACAATTTAAATTAGTAACTATACTTGTTACTGCTTTAAATTATGAACAAGTTTCATTTCCTTTTCTTTTCTCACCTTCAGCATAGAAATTAGTATTGCCTTCTGCAATCTTAGTATGTTTTTTACATAAATTAAGTGGATTGCCCTTCCAATAAAGTAACACTTTCACAAAATAACACAGTCAAGTATTTAAAACATTTCAGTGCCTTGTGACATACACTGCTCTAAATGCAAAGATAGAAACTTAATATCTGCAAGAAAATATGAATGTATAACTTTAATACAGTCTCTAGAAATAAAGGTCACACCTCACCTTGCACTTATATTTGTCTGCACTTAACTTATTCAGTCACTGATAAAGAAATATTACTAAGAAAACAAGATGGAAATTTGGCAGACATGTTTGGATTGTACTGAAACTGAAAAGGCACATGATAAGCAGACAGGAAACTTGTAAAGCAATACATCCATATGATTAATAGAGAGAATAAAACAAATGTGAACAAAAATGTGGTCACAGATGGTAAAAATATCTGGAAATTTCCAAACATATGAAGGAGTTAGACAAAAATGTGGTTTATGCCCTATGTTGCTCAACACAATAATGGATGTCAGAGTAAGGAGGGTGACAACAGAGCAAAACAGTGGAGTACTGAAAATGATCGTACCAGTTTTATGGGGACCAAGGGAAAGCATGTGAGAAAAGAAATTCCAAAGAGTTTTTATTGTGTGTAAGGACTTTGGATTAAATCTTAATTCAGTTAAATGTGCAGTTCAAGTGGTGAGTTTTAGTACACATGGAGCAAACGTGATAAGTGATGAGTGCAAATGAAGAAATTACAGAAAGAATGAGAAATGCATAATTTTTTTTACCAATTAGTGAGTATCACAATGGGAACAGGAAATGCCTAAAATGGGGAAAATATGCCTATTTAAAAGTCAGTACATACTCATATTAACTCAGAGAAAAAACCTGGACATCAATGAAGGCAGGTATTAGGTTAAGAAGAGGAGAGATTTTAATAAACATATAAAAATACAAAATAGATAGAATATAAAAGGAGAAATTAGAATCTAACGTTACAACTTGGAAGACAAGCTGACAAATGAAATATTTAGATGGTATGGACATGTTTTAAGAAAAAATCAAGAGGAAACAGTTTTGAACATGAAAGTGAAAGAGAAAGGAAAATGTGCAGGAGAGACCGAAAACAAGGCGGGAAAAACAAGTCAGAAAAGATGTCACACGGTGACATGCTAGTACCATCACTGAAATACTAATACAGCAAATTTAAATCAGTAAAATGATACCTTAAACATAGTGTGCTGTCCCTGGGCTTCTACATGATCCTGTGGTGGAAGCTGATAAGCTGCACTTGTATGTGACCGGCTCAGTTCTTTAGTAGAAGGTTCTGATGACACTTCTTGATGATCAGGTGAGCTTGACTGAAAAAAAATTAAATAAATATTATGAAAAGAAATTTTTCAACAGTATTGCTGTTACCACCATCAACATCATCATAACTGTCAGTTTCAGTTTCTTTTCAATATCATGTTCTATTACAAATGTCCAAGAGAATCAAAACCTAAAGTAAATGGAAAATACATCGCAAGCCTACAAAATATTATACAGGAGAATGAGACTGAAATGGATCTTAGAAAACTGGTTGTGAAGATGTGAACTCAAAAGAGCTACTCAGAATTGTAGCCAATGACACAATTTTGTGATGGCACTGACGAATCTTTGGACAAAATAACCACAGTAAATTCTGTCATCACACAACCACTGCTGACGGAAGGTCTAGCATAGTTACCTTGTTTATTATCAGTCAGTAAAACAGTCAGATGATGATAATGGTTTAATACACAGAAATAATGCTGAGTAAGCAAACACATCTGAGAACTGCCTGTGTGAATGCTTTCTTGTTCCACAAATTATGGCAACTACCTTCTACGTACAAAAATACTCTCCAGAGGTGTGCAATCAAAGTCGTGGCTTTACCCACCTGGCCTTTACGTTTCCATATAGGAGAACATCTGTGGTTACTGTCTTCTAAATTGTCACACGTAACTCTGTCAGTAGAAAGGCTGCTATCACTTCCTGAAGACTGAACACTAGATAAACTCCCATTTTCTCTCGTCTTATTCAGCCCGTTGGCCCGTAAAGATCTCGTTTCAGTTGATCGGGAAGAGATGGATGAAGTTCTTTTTGGCACCTCTGGTGGTACTTTCTGGCCTTGACACCACGGTCGCTGTGGTGGGGTTCCTGATTTTGGTGTCCAACTATCCTGTCTACTCCAAGATGCATGATTCTGATGAAGCGGTGATGTGGCGATGGTTTGACGTAGTGATGAATCTCGATTCAAAGCAGTGTCATGTCCAAACTAGAAATAAATGATATTCATCATTCAGGTAAAGCTGATTCACCAAGACTGACGTGTACAGTTTATTTACTTACTTCTGAGTACATTTCTTAGGCACAAGTGCAACATAAATATTTGAAACGGCAAACAAATAAGGTATATAATGTAGTTTGATCTATATAATTCAGTCTTACCACTTAATCTGAACATAAAACAAGTCATCTTATCAGTAATGTGACATAAGTTTTGTTGTCCACTTGAATTTCTCTTGTGTCACTGGGTGTCCACTAAACTGAGTATCTGGGTTGAACCAATGAAGTCTAGTGTACTTGTAATGTGGATCATAGAATGAAGATGTAGAAAGCCAGAAGGTGACATTCCAAACTGAAATAGAGCTAAGAAGTGATTTTCTAGACAGCAGAAAGGAAAGGAACAGTAGTTATGTATGTCAGTATAAAAGGGATGATGAAAGTGTGTATAAACCGAGTACTCACAGACATGGAAGAAATATCTTCATTTTAAGAAAAAAATCTTTCCTGTTAATAAAGAAAATCAGAATTAAAACTGCAAAAAGGCATAACAAATTTCAAATAAAAATCAATAAAATTTGAGAACTTCAACAATTTAATCTCTGAAACGGAGACACCGCTCGGAACTCAAATGATTTGCTTGCTACAGCGTAAGTCCTATCTGCGAGCACTCTAGGAATGTAGACAGTGAATGAAATGGACAATGTAACTGCCACTATGCACCAAAGAAAGATAAATATCAGAATAATTAAGCAAGACAAGAACAAATTTGAACTAATTGCAATAAGGACAATACGGTCAGACTTTTGAGAGCAAATTCCAGTAAAATATTTTTTCATATAATAATGTTCAGTACTGCTGATATGCACAGTGTTGTGCCTCATACCTGAAACTATGAACAAAGGAACAAACATGGTATAGTCATCAATTAAATCTCCAGTCTGTAAGATTCTTTAAACAAAGAGATTTAGGAAAGTTTTATGGCATTTTAAGAACAGACATTGTGGGTCTTTTGCATAAGAAATCATTACATGCACACAAATTGCATAGTGCAAAGAGAATCAAGTTAAAAGACTTTTATTGTACATATTTACACAATACCAAAAAACTATTAAAAATTACCTGTACTGTCACTTTTTTCCTACCAACATAATAAGAAATAAAAAATCAGACTACAACTAAATTAAAATAAACCAGATAAACTGCCTTTTAAACAGGTATGCAGATTCTTAAAATGCAAACAATAAAAATAAAACCAGAAATAAAAAGCTTATCAAATTCATTTGCATTTAATAATTATTCCAAATACTGCAAACATAACACGTTGGGTAGAAGTACGTGTTAAGTCTACTGTTCTTACAATGCATATGGGCCCCTTAAAGTTAATCTGGGGAAAGAAAATAAAGAAAAACCATACAAAATTTAGCCTGGATGAAATAATTTCATTATATTATTTTCCACAAGACTGAGTATTGCATTTTATACATCTTGGACAAAATTTAGCTACCAAACCATTACAAACACTACACACCTCCTACTACTCCATTGCACTACAGCCCTTTTGTAGGGCACTGGCCTCCTTAAACACTACACATTAGTTACAGTTAATGCTGCTGCTACTACTACCACCACCACCATCATCATCATCACCACAATGACTGCATGCACCTGTTTCCATTATCATCATCATGTCACGTATTAGACCACATGGTGTAACACGGTTTCATGCCTAAAAATTAAAATTAAGTAAGAAACTTAAAATTCCATCAACACTAAACTCCAAATCATCTTTCATTTTGTGAATTGTGGGTTCTGAGTTCTGATGTCATGTGGTCTTATAGTTGGTTAACAACATTTCAAAGGAATATTATCTTCACCTTCGATCCATCCTAAAAATGGAGGCAAAATGGTCCTCTGGAATAACATTAACCAACCACACACTAGACTCAAGGGACTGCAAGCCAAAAGTAAAAAATCCAAATTTTCACTGCTGTGAAAATAATAAATCTTGTACCTTTCATTTTGCAAATGTTTTGCACCGACGAACTTACATAAAAAAGTTAATTTGGCAAATAAAAATACAAGAAAATTGGAAGTATTCTAATTACTTATTCAGCCCATATATAAACTTTGTGTCACGGATGCGGAATGAATTCTGAAGGAAAAATAAGTAAGGTATCTACTTGAGTAGCTCAAGGTTTACTATTCTACGCCATTACCATTAGGTAACAGCCTAAAAAAACTGTACACACTTCAACACTGCATGGTTCATGCACACACCACTTCACTGACGAAGTTGCAGACCTACATACTTCATAAATCTAAGTAATTAACTAACTCACTCCATGAAACAGTGTCCTCCTTGAGAAGCTGACTGTACGTTCATCTAGTCCAGAAAATTCTCCAACTTTCATGAAATATGAAGGTTCATTCTGTGGTTACAAGAGCCCACCACCAGTCCCTATCCTCAGCCAGATAAATTCAATTCACATCAACCCACTCTATTTACCCAAGATGCATTTTAATATTATCCTATCACAATGTTGTTGCTTTGTACAAAGTTATTTAAATAAGAACCAGCATACCTGTTAAACAAGTCTAAATCAATCCAACATTTTCAGTGAGCTTCCATACATCACGCATGTGTGCGCGCGCACGAGCGCACATGTCCACACGTAATTAATTATACAGGAATTCTTGAATTTATATGCTTTCAGTTTGCTCCCATAACTCCAGAAACTACATTTTCATTTTATTTTACTTTTTAAAAATGTCCACTCCCATTTTCAACTTCAAGTCAACACAAAAAGTCTCAACTTAAGAGTTTTTACTTTACACGATCCTAAAGTGGAATTCAAGATACAGCCACCTGTTTCAATTCGGAATATGAGTAAATAGCTTAACTGAGAGAGTTTTAATTTGTGCCATTTTCAGTGAAACACCACGTAGATCCAAAATTGAAATGAAATACTCAGCAAGTGGAAAATGCACAACACTGATAACGCATATAAGCAAATTTTGAACGTTTAAGTCTCCCCCACTGTGTCAAATAACTGGGGGTTACTCACCTCGCCGCTTTCTGAGAATGCTTCCTGCGGCATGTAGTAGTGTGTTGTGTCCCAGAAGTGTTTTGGGCCATTATAGGAAGGGCATGGTGCCAGTGATGTGGGGGTGTAGTAATCCAACTGGACACTGACATGAGCCATATCACAGCGACTAGACTGACTCCGTGGTAGAGGGATACTGTCGATGTTGCGCCGTTCTCGCATCGACATGGAGCGTAGTGGCAGAGGGCGGGTAGTAACATGAGACTGTGGGGAACAATTCTGCCATAACTCTTGATACAATCCTGCAAAATTGTTTCTGATAATCAGTTCACTGTCAACATATCGATCGCAAACCTCGTGTGATGCGTGTAATCTCCGGCTGAGTCGCTTCTCAGCTTTAGCCATTGCAGTAATTGCAGCAAATTTCTTGAGCAATGTGTAGCGACGGAATGCCCTCTGGATTGTGAGAGCTGCATTACGAGCCTTCACGCCGCCATACTTGCGCTCCAGCATCTCAATTTGTTTTTCTAACAAATCTTGTGAGAGTTCATACCTGCAAAGAGAAATTATATTTTAGTGCACACAAGAATTAAATCTTACAGAAACTTTACTGTTGAAGTTCACAGTATGTAATATGAAATATAAAATTGGGAACTTTTTTCATCCGTTCCAGAGAAGAGTTGAAAATTAATGGTTTACATAAAACAGGAATCAAAATACAGAAAAAATGACAGTAAAAATAAAGCAGTCAAAGATTCTGCATTATGATAATAAACTCACAAGGAAAATTCTTCTAAAATTTCTTCTTAAAGATGACAATAAAACTTTTAGAATGAAAGTACAAGTAAAAATAATTACTGAAGAAATATTTCCTATAATTTTACTATTTAAAATTACAGTTAAAACATCAACTCACGCAGTTTGGACTCGAGATCTTTTGAGTACATCTCCACTTTCTCGAATGGAACCTTTCTTGTGAAGTCCCTGTCCCCTGCCGGACAAATGTGAATTTCCAAGGCCACATGGGGACCGCTCTGATGTTTTGGGATAGCTGAAAATTAATTAATTTCTTTTAATACATCTAGTAATGTCTAAAATATCTAGTAATAATTCCTTTGTTTCTCAAAAATCATTAATAAATTACTGCTACCAACTTTACAATATAACAATAAACACAGTCTCACAGTTGAGCCCAAATTTGTAAACAATGAATGAACCTACAAGAGACAAAGAAAAACCCTAAGAGAAAAGAGTAAATTTTCATTAATTGTCAGTAACTGGAGGTGAAAGGTGAGAGTCACAAATTATCACTGTGTATGAGCCAATCACATAACTGATGAACTTACCTATCTCTCACAGCAACAAGTTCTCCGTTCATCTGGAGTTGTATTACACTCTGACTTTCCAAGACGTCACCCAAACTGGAAAATAAAGACAATATGTAGGCTATTTTTTAAACCATCCTGGTTCTTTGTATCTCAAGAAGCCATCAAATTTACTTTCTACATAATTAACTAAACCGAACGTCCTGGTCACATGTCTCCTGATTCATACTCGAGAGATCCTAAGTTCAAGTCTCGGCCCAGAAACCAGCTATCGTTATTAAGATTTTTCGTGGCGTTCCTCAGTACCTCCTGGAAAATGCCATGTTAGTGCCTTAAATTAGGCTATGACCGCTTCATTCATATCTTTTACAATTCATTATTAATTCATGATCCTGTCCTTTGATGTTACATAACCTCAATTACTGACAGCATTATCAAATAAACCACAAATAAATTGAGTCAATTCAATCACAAATATCCAGGTATCAGCATAAAGTAATGTAGTTTATTATGCATAAACATAATTCTCACACAGATAACAAAAACCAAAAACAGTAACAAATTCTAAATATTGTTTCTTGGTTCATTCGATGTTTTATGAACTTCAGATATCATTCAGCATGAAATGGAAATGGCAGCATTATAAATCAGGAGCACGAAAGGTTGGTCATGGCCTGTTTCACGTGCTAGCACTAGCATTTGTCTGAAACGACGGTAAAATAGAACATCCTGAACCAGGAGAAGTGGCCACCTAATCAGCAAGCTCTCTCTGAATTCAGTGTAAGTACCTCAAAACTGTGCCAAGCCAGGTATTGAAAGATTATCATGCATTGTGGGCATAACAAGATTCGGAATTTTAAGGTAATATTCCGGCACTCGCCTGAAAAGACTGTGGAAAAGAACGAAAAGCCTGTCAGTGTTGCCAACAGCCACTAACTAGACCGTGATCCGAACTGAATACAAGAGAATTAACGATACACCAACCTCCTCAGAGTCTTTCAAGAAGGCCCACATTTTAAAACACAACAGTATTAAGCACTTTTAAAGCATTGCAGAGTGCAGATATAAAAATAGTTATCGTCCTACGTTTAACAAATACTTTAAAATACAGACAGAATACAAATACGTAGTTTCACACAAATAAAACAGAGTAATTCACTATCAGTGAAAGACTTTATGTTTCTCCGAAATGTTTACATCTTCCGACGACTCTACACGGCGCCAAAACCCAGAACAACATCAAGGTCACGGGTTGCTAATATACACACTAAGTGAATTAGGGAGATATTTGCAAGGCGAATGATATGGATAGCTTTAAACTGAAGGAAACAAGAAAATAAAACGAAAGAAAGCATCTCTTCCGACGAAGCACAAAACACAAAATACGACGGACTTAGAACAGCGAGACACCAGACGAGAGGACACGCCGTTAAGCGAGGTAACAAAGCAGCGTAAAAGGGTGGGAACGGTTACAATATTTTTTTTATAAAAGCCCAGTTGTTATCTCCAATACAGTAAACCACGGAAATTATCAGGCATGTTTTATCAAAGACCTTCGGAAAATGAAATAAATATACATCATCATCTATTATCTACTGCGATACGGAGATTAGATTAAGTCCAAGACTGAAGATTACTGTCGAATACCAGAACGATAACTGTACATATATACAAGTCTACAAAGCTCCTCAATATGTATTTTTCTCCAGCCTCTCACTCCCATTTCTTAGGTCCAAATATTCTTCTCAGGATCCTGTTGTCAAACGCCCTCCATCTATGCTCTTAATTTAACGTAAGATAACAAGTTTTACACTTATACAAAACAGAAGATAAAATTATAGTATCGAACGCTTTAATACATTTTATATTTATTTAGTGTTCTGTCTGACGATAGGTCCATGAACAGGATCCTTCTATCCTTTTCTCGGACTGGGACCTGTTCATATACGTTCTTGGCAGATGATCCAGAAGTGGTTTGCCATTGCCTTCTTCTGTGTGTGAATGGGATGCCACGGAGAAACCGGGGAAGCCCCCGGAGGAAAACTCCGTGTTGCCTAGACCACGGCCTTGCCCAACACAAGTTATAAATTCGGGCACCGCCGGGAATCGAACCCGGGACCCCAAGATTACAAGGCCAGCGTTCTAACCACTAGACCACCGTGGTTACTTCTATAATACATACAGAATAAAAAAATTCTGAGCACACTGAGTAGCAATTGTTTTCCGAAATGAACGTGCTCTTAATTTCTCCGTGTAATTTTACAGCCTTTCACAAAATATCTTAACTCTGGCACTTTTAATTTATTAGCTACGTTAGTATGATTTTTGGGTTCTCACGGCTGTGAGTACAAAGATGGTTCTGTCTTCTATCGCCCTGATGATGGAGGCAGTAAGGACCTTTGAAACGTTGTCAATCTTCTACCAGACTACATGGCGCTGCAACCCAAAAGTGAGTCAACGTAACATTAGGAGGTTCAAAACAATGACCGACTTACGCTCTAAGAAAGATTAAGAAATTGTGCACGTAATGTGACGCCCTCAAAATGTTGTTGTTGTGATATGAATATTAGTAAGGCAACCGTTTCACACAACGGGACAAAACCAACTTGGGCCACTGGCCGTGATAACCTGCCCACGGAGCTAACGCTGCTTTAACAGCTACCGTACCGACATCACGCACCTTAATTATTAGTCAGGGGGACGATGCGTGACTCAGAACAACAAAGCTTTTTAAGACTACTGCACAACACTCGCGTAAAAATTATTCTTCAGCTGTGACGAATTCGAGCCCCTGGTTTGTTTCGATTAAGAACTAACTCCTGCAAAAGAGTCAGAACATAAAATGAAGTATATCAGATCTAAAACTTCTTGACGATGGTGAAGAGTCAATTGAATAAAAATTTTCTTGCACATTATCCATCGTCTAGTAAATATAAAACGTAAGGTCCGGAGATAGGGATTAGCTCTATCTAGTGGGCCCAACTGTGTAGGAACCTGAAGACGGAGATAGAGTCCCATCTCCGAAACGTCGTTTTACGTTTTATATGGTCCGGAGATAGGGATTAGCTCTATCTAGTGGGCCCAACTGTGTAGGAACCTGAAGACGGAGATAGAGTCCCATCTCCGAAACGTCGTTTTACGTTTTATATTTACTAGACGATGGATAATATCCAAGAGGTCCGGAGATAGGGATTAGCTCTATCTAATGGGCCCAACTGTGTAGGAACCTGAAGACGGAAATAGAGTCCCATCTCCGAAACGTCGTTCAACGTTTTATATTGACTAGACGATGGATAATATCCAAGAAAATTTTTATTCAATT